ACTGGACTCAGGCTGCCTATACATAATAAGGCTGAGAGTTTGGGAACCCATTTCTCCTTCCAAGCACAAGGAACAGCCAGGTGTAGTGGTCAAAGTTCTGTCACCTAGGAGAACGTCCTCTACAGCTGACACTTTTGGGTGGTGCTCATATATCACACAGAATCATCTGTAAACCAGACACAAGGTTTTCCCTTCCCCATTAAACTGGTCTCAGAGACTTCCTTCTGAGATACAAGTTCAGACAGGGAGAGAGAAGGCAGTATGCTACGACAGGGCCCATGGGCAGGTGGACCTGGCCTGCACCAGCTTTTTATCCCTAAATATTTCAGGGTACATTTCCTACGAATAGGAATACTCTCTTACATAGCCATTGAAACCTCCTTGAAGGTTTTTTTTGTTTTTGTTTTTGTTTTTTTGGTACTGAGGATCGAACTAGGGTCCTCGTGCTTACTCAGCAGGCGGCGAAACCACTGAGCTAAATCCCCGGCCCTGAAGGTTTTATTGATGCCATTATAAGCTTTAGTTAACTCAGTGTTGACATAACACTGCTGTCTAATCTACTTCCGAGAATCCAGGTTCTCTGGTGATCGACCGCATGGTTTATAACATTCCCCTGAGCAGGACCCAGCGAGGGGCCACATGCTGCGTTCTTTGTCCTATCTCTGCTTCCGAAGCCCTCTGAGTTGGTTGCTGTTGCTGTTTTGACACTGACATTGCTAAGGACTAAAGCTTCTTTCCCTTTTTAAAGTTCTGGTAATTCTGCTCCGTGCTTCAAATTTTAAATTTCTAGTTTTGGTGAGTTGTTATTTTTGGGGGGTTCCAGGGATTGAACTCAGGACCTTATACTTTCAAGACAGGCACCAGAACCACTGAGCTAAATCCCCAGCCCTTCTTTCCCTTTTTGAGAGAACCTTCATTTTAGGAATTTCACATCATCTTTATATCAGGATGTATCTCTGGCTGGCATGTTATATAAAACATGTTGTGTCCATCTCAGAGGACATCACACTTAATCTTTTCAATAAGAGTTAATATTATTTTTGCAACTAATAAATACTGGAAGACCATGCAGACACCTTGCCTCTCATCTGACTTCCCCACCCTAAATTTAGCCGTCATTGATCTTCTTCACAGTGACAGATGCACAGGGATTTTCCAACCCCAAATCTCTATCCACATTTACCTGCTATCAGGCCAGAGATTTAGCTCAGTGGTATTGTGCCTGCCTCACATTTATCTGCTAGCTTCTGACACTTTCCTGTAGACGGAGCCTATTTATTTACTTATATATTATCAGTATGGAGTCGTAGGTTCCTATTTTTTCAATTTGGGTCATTGATTTTGACGCATGATTCCACACTGACCTTGTGACTTTATTACCTATTCGATAAGAAGAAGAAGAAGATGAAATTCCTGAAAACTCTGGGTGGGCCTCCTCCCTCTTGTGGGGGCAGCCTGCTCCTGGAGAGATCGGAAGTTAGCCTTGAAGGGTGTCTATGTAAGTACCCCCTGCCTAATGCTGCTGTACCACACCACACCCTTGCTACATTCTGTAATCACAGCTTAGGCCACCCTTGCCACCTAGTGCTGCTTTATCATGCCCTTGCCACATTCTGGTGTGTAACGGCAAGTTAAGCTGCCCTGTAAAAGGTATAAAAAGGAGAAACTATCTTAACTCGTGGTCAGCCTATAAGGACTCATTTCCTGAGGCTGTCCTTGCCTGGCAATAAACTTTTTCATTTTACCCTACTCTCCTGTCTCTGGAAGGTCATTTCGACTCCCTTGCCACATTTGGTGCATTGGCCAGGAATCGAGATCATCTTCTGGGCACTTGGTCAATGGCTCAAACCCTGCCAGAGTGAGATTGGCCTTCGACTCCTCTTGGCGGGGGGAAGGGCGCCCCTGGGAGAACTTTCTCAGTCCCCCTCAGGGACTCGCAACATCAACCTCATTGACAGAGGCTTGACTGGACCGGAACAAGACACAGGAGACACAGGACCGAGTGACTGGGTGAGTGACTGACTTTGGACATGCTACGCTGCCCAGGGAAAAGCCAGAGATTCGATTTTCAATCTGTTTCCTGATGCAAGTCAGAAGAAGGGCCTGATCACCCCTTAACTGGGAATATCGCATTCCCATCTGGTCGGGGCCTTTTGGGGTCCTGGAGGGACTTTTGAAGTCCTGTTCATTGGGGCTCTTCAGAATCCCATCTGTGAAAACTGAGTTAGGGCCATCCCAGGCCGGCAGGAATGTTTAATCTCTGAATGACTGAGTGAATGTGAGACTGAGTGTGAACGGATAGCAAAAAACCATAAGCTGTTCCATCTGTATCCACGACTAAGGGGGGGCCACTCTGTGCTTAAATATCCCCCTGAGGTTATGGACATGATTGGGCCTGATCTGCAATTCTGTGGACGAGTCTCACTAGGGCTAAGTGGGTGCTCTCTCGACAAGATAAATACACCCTTATGCCTGGACAGTCCTGAAAGTGCTGGTCACACAGCCAGACAGACACCTGTGTGGATCATCTCTGATGGTCACCCTCCTTTGTTTGTCTTGCATCTCCATACAAGGGTACCCATAAGCTCACCAACACTGATGGGCCCATCATGGGGACAGGAACATCTCGTCCTACTGTTTTAGAATGCATGCTTAAGAATTTTAAAAAAGGTTTTACTGGAGATTATAGTATTAAGATGAAACCCCAAAAGCTTAGAACCTTTTGTGAATTAGAATGGCCCAAGCTTTGCCCAGCTTGGCCACCTGAGGGATCCCTAGATGAGAGTCTCGTCTGGTCCATCTGGCAGGAGGTCACGGCCCCTTGATGGGAACATCCAAATCAATTTCCCTATATTGATTCATGGCTCAAATTGTGCCACAGAATGCCTCCTTGGCTTCATATGTGTGCCCTGGAAGCAAAAAGCACTATCCTGGTCCTCTGTCAGAAAGAGGATGATGCTAAAAAGGAACTGGTTCTTTTAGACCTGGACGGAGAGAATTCAGACTTTCCTCTTCCTTATCTGACTGCCCTCGCCCTTCCCTGGGCCCCTGTGGCATCAGCACCGGCCGCCGAGGCTTCAGCACCAGTCTCGGCACCATCGGCTCCAGCCCCAGCCTCACCTGATTCAACCCAGCTGCTTCAAGATCCTACATCCAAATCTGCCTCAGATGCAGACCCCACTAGTCCAGTGGCTCACCACCTCCATTCCGTGCATCTCCAGATGCCCCTCAGAGAGTATCCCAACCCAGTGGGAGGGATCAGCCTTTTATCTCCACTGATTTGCTGAATTGGAAGAATCACACTCCTTCCTACTCAGAAAAACCAGAGGCGATGACCTCTATTTTTTGGACACACTGTCTAAATTGGGAAGGATGTCAGGAACTGATGATGGCACTCCTCGAGACTCAGGAACACGATGAGTCATAGACGGGGGAAACAATACCTCAAGACCCAAGTACTCCAAGATGAAGCAAATAAAGAACAATGGATAAATGATCACCTGCCTCTTGATAAACCTGACTGGGACCCTAACACAGCTGGAGGACTAGGGAGACTCAGGAAGTACCGTGAAGCCCTCATAAAGGGGATGGAAGTTGGAACTCAAAGGCCACATAACATGACTAAGACAGCAGAAACCCTTCAGGAAAAAGATGAAAGCCCAGAGAGTTACTGTGTGAAGCCTACAGGACATATTCACCCTCAACTCCAAGGACCCTGGAAATCAACAAATGGTCAACACTGCATTTGTAACCCAGGTTAGGGCAGACATTCAAAGTAAGATTCAAAAATAAAAAGGGTGGGCGGGGATGAATATCACCCAGCTGATCCTCATTGCCCAAAAAGTCTATATGAACTGGGAACAAAAAGAAGCAGAACGTCAAACCAAACAGAAGATCGCTCTCCTGGCAGCAGTGCTGAGCCAGGCTACAATGAGAAATAAAAAGGATAACCCGTCTGAGAGCTCCTGCCAGAAGCCTAATGCACAGAGCAGCTCACCAAAAGGACAAACATATGCTGATTTGGATCCAGACCAATGTGCCTACTGTAAGGAACATGGACATTATAAGAACAAATGCCCAAAGAAAAAGAGGAGACAGGAGAAAAAGCAACAAGAAGAAGATGTCTCCCTTTCCACTCTCCTCTCTTTGGCTAGAGAAGAAGACAAATAGGGACAATGGGGCTCCTTAAATCTAGGTCCCTGTGAGCCCCTAGTCAAAGCCAAAGTCGAGGACCACAATGTTATCTTTATGGTGGACAGCAGAGCAGAGCATTCTGTTGTGACTCAAGTTAGTCGCCCTTCTGAGCACATGACACATTCAAGTTACTGGAGCCATGGGAATTCCCATCAAAAAGACTTTTTGCCAGCACAGGACATGTACGATTGGGGGAACATCAAGTGACCCACGAGTTCTTGTATATGCCTGAATGTCCCATTCCACTCTTGTGGAGAGACCTTCTCTCTAAATTGGGAGGCACCATCACATTTGATAGGGACACAGGCGATACCCATCCAGGCCTGAGCACTGCCCCTGACAGTCATGTCCTGCTGGACACAGTTCCCCGGGAAAAGGAATGGCAATTATTTGAGGGTGATGGAACTGAAATCCAAGAGACATGAGAGGATCAAGAAAAACTTAGGACATTGTTCCCAAGAGTCTGGGCTGAAGACACCCCACCCAGCCTTGCAAATACATGCCTCTATAGTGGTGGAACTCAAGTCCTGAGCCCTTCTAGTGGCCCTCTGACAGTATCTGATGGCACAGGAGGCTCAACGAGGAATCCACCCCCACATAAATAGATTTTTAAAAAGTGGGCTTCTTGTAGAATGTCAGTCACCTTGGAATACACCTCTCCTCCCAGTAAAAAGCCTAACAGAGACCACAGACCCATACAAGACTTGAGAGCCATTAACCAGGCTGCTGTTACCTTACACCCATCCGTTCCTAACCCTTACACCCTGCTCAGTCTGCTTCCTGCAAAGGCAGAAAGGTTCACCTACCTAGATTTGAAAGATGCGTTCTTCTGCCTTCAAGTTGCCCCAGTGAGTCAGCCACTTTTCGCCTTTGAATGGGAAGATCCAGAAACAGGACAAAAAGGACAGCTGACCTGGACCCGACTATCAGAGGGATTCAAGAATTCTCCTGCTTTGTTTGGTGAGGCATTAGCCTCGGACTTAAACTGTTACCCACATGCTCAGTACAACTGCTGCCTGTTACAATATGTAGATGACCTCCTCCTTTGTAGTGAGTCAGAGAAAGATTGCTGGGAAGGGACCAAGGCCCTCCTCAAGCTCCTGCAAGATGTGGAATATAAAGTCTCATGTTAAAAAGCACAAATCTGTCAGGCCAAAGTGTGGTGTTTGGGATTTGACTTAGAAAAAGGACAAAGGAGGCTAGGTCCACAGAGAAAGGAAGTCATTTGTTCTCTGCCAAGACCCCCAACCAAAAAGAAGCTCTGAGAATTCCTCGGGACAGCAGGATTGTGCAGAATCTGGGTTCCCGGGTTTGCAGAGAAAACAAAGCCGCTATATGAGATGCTAAAAGGGAAGGAAAAAGAACATTCCAACTCAAAAGGAAACACTAAACAAGATTCATCCTTCAGAGGACTGAAAAAGGCTTTAAGTAAAACTTGCACTCAGCATCCCGGATGTTACCAGACCCTTCAACTTCTTTTTTTTTATTTATTTTTTTATTTTTTTATTTTTTTGGTACCGGGGATCAAACTCAGGTCCTTGCGTTTGCACAGCAGGTGGTGAAACCACTGAGCTAAATCCCTGGCCCTCAACTTCTTTTTAGATAAAAAAAAAAAAACATTTTGCCTTGGGGGTCTTAACTCACAGGATGGGCCCTTGGGAAAGACCTGTTGCTTACCTCTCAAAAGCTTTAGACCCCGCGGCAAGAGAATGGCCTCCCTGTTTATGAGCTGTGGCTGCTATGGTCACATTAATAAAAGAAGCTGACAGGCTGACTTTAGGGCAAGAACCGTGTATACTTCTCATTCAGTAATAGAATTATTAAATAGTAAAGGCAAGAATTGGCTCTCCAATAGCTGCATCCCTCAATACCAGGCACTGATGTGTGAAAATCTTTGCCTGACTATCATGGCTGTAAAAGCTCTGAATCCTGCAACTTACCTGCCCCCTAAAATGGGTCCACCTGACCATGACTGCCTGATGACTGTTGATGAAGCCTGTGCTAGCCGACCAGACCTTCAGATGACTCCCCTGACTGATGCTGAATACACCCTTTTTACGGATGGAAGTAGCTCAGTTAGGGAGGGAATCCACTGCTCTGGATATGCAGTAGTAACCAACAAAGAGGTGCTCCTAGCTGGACTTCTTCCAGCTGGATGGTCAGCACAAAGGGCCGAACTATGGGCATTGATTCAGGCACTCAAATGGTCAAAAGGGAAGAAAGTCAATATATATATATACTGATTCCAGATATGCTTTTGCCACAGTACATGTCCATGGCATGCTGTACAAAGAGAGAGGACTGCTCATGGCAGAAAGAAAACAGGTTAAAAACAAAGAAGAAATCCTGCAGCTTCTCAATGTAGTTTGGGAGCCGCTGAAGGTAGCTGTCATACATTGCAGAGGCCATCAGAAAGTAAGAGATTCTGCTACTCTTGGGAACTCAAAGGCAGATGAGGCAACCAAAAAGGTGGCCAAGTCCAGTACAGAATTTATAGGAAACCTACAGAACACCCAAGAAGAATCCAAAAAGACTGACTTGCACTACTTAGACAAAGAAGATGAATGGGCACAGAGTCAGAAAGCCCATAAAGGAGAATACAACAACTGGGTGCTCCCTGAGGGATGGGTAGTCATTCCAAGGAGACTAGCCTATGCGTGGGTCAAGAGACATCATGATCTCACACATGCAGGAAAAACAGCTCTAAATGAACTCCTTCAGGAACACTATTACATTCCTTGACTCTCCATGCTTTGTGCCCTTGTCTGCCAAAGATGCAGCACCTGCACCAGAGTAGAACCCAGCTAAAAGCCTCGGCCAGTACCCAGAATCCAACACATTGGAATCTCTCCTTTCAAAGACATACAAATAGACTTCACAGAAGTGAAGCCATCCAAAGCCTACAGATATCTATTAGTCTTAGTCTGTACCTACTCAAGATGGGTTGAAGCTTTCCCTACTAGGACAGAAAGGGCCCAAGAAGTGTGCAAGGTCCTCCTAAGAGAAATTATTCCAAGATATGCACTCCCTCTAACCATTGGCAATGACAATGGTCCAGCCTTTATAACAGAAATAGTCCAGAAATTGGCTAAGTTGCTAAAGATAAAATGGAACTTGCATGCCACCTACCATCCACAAAGTTCAGGGAAAGAAGGATGAACAGAACCAAAAAGTTAGCTCTCATCAAGTATTGCTTAGAGACACAGGCCCCTTGGGTAGATCTCTTACCCTTCACCTTGATGAAAATTAGGAATATGCCTAGCAAGGGAAAATTCTCCTCATTTGAGATCCTGTTCAGAAGGCCACCACCATTGATTAAAAGCCTTAGAGGCAATATACAAGGACAGGGAGCCTAATGCTTAACCAACAGCTCAAAGCCTCAGGACAGGTTTTTCATCAGCTTCACAAATATTACGGGGAAAGGGATAACATCCCCACAGACACTTCTGCTCATTCATTTGAGCCAGGGGACCAAATTTATATAAAAGACTAGAAAAGAGACTCCCTCACCCCAATTTGGAAAGGGCCTTATGTTATTGTTATGACCACTCCTACAGCAGTAAAAGTTGCAGAAATCCAGCCTTGGATCCGTCATTCAAGAATCAAGGAATTTCAACCAGGAAACTCCTGGACATGGCAGCTGGATCCAGCAAACCCACTGAAAATGACTCTGCTGAGAGGATGCTCTCAAAGCCCTGCTCCTGTCACTCTGGAAGCTGAAAGATCAATGCAGGGCTGAAGAAATTAAAGGAGACAACGCCCTCAAAAGCCCTGCTGACAGGCTGATGTATGGCTAAAAGACTCATGAACAGTTGTGCTGCCTTGTTGTCTGGGACTTTCCTACACACTATTATTGTTGTGTGTTTAGTTCTAACTGGGTTCATCTTTGGCATTGGTCTGGGTGCTAGTGCCCCAAGAGACTGGAGCACTTGCCAAAAATGCTGGCTTGCTATCACATATTTGTGTATTATCTCACTTTTCTGGGTTCTTATATGTTTAAGGTAAATGTGGGACATTAGGAATTTGAACTGAGTATGTACAAGCCTAAAGATTCAAAGTTTGATGCCTGGACCAAACTAATTAAGGTGATTAAATGGGAACCCGAAGGGCATCCCCTGCCCCTTACATTTGATGGATGCCCACGCCAGCATTATGGCTGGCTGGGAGTGATAGACTGTGGAGGACATAATCAGGAACAGCAATACTATAAAATGAAGTCAAAAGGAGGAGCAATAATGGCTATAAAGTTCCAAGGACAAAAAATGCAAATGGTAGAGAACATGCAATCCCTGAATTGCCGTACTTGTAAAGAAAGAGTGTAACCCACTTAAAGTAGTTTTACCTGACCCATGGGATCCCAAATGACTGAAAGAACAAACTGTGAGGGTCCAACTATACTATTCAGTGCCTGACTCAAGTACTAAGATAAGTAGCGATGACCAGGACACTCATTGGTTATGCTAGTCAAAAAGGTCTGGACCACAGTTCGGCCAACAGTTGAGGAAAGCCTGATAATCAAAGAGATAAAAAAAAGATTAGGTCCAGGCCAGCCAATTACACAAGGATAGATATGGTGCAGACTATAAACAGCACTCACAGATTGCTTCTGGCCACTGACTCAGATCTGGCATCTGATTGCTGGATCTGTGCACTCCTCCATCAGCTCACCTATCATGCTTTGGGGCTGACCCTACAGGGAATCCTAAACCATACTGATGAACCAGCAGTTTGACTTCTTAGTAAACCCCCTGAAGTGATAGAAAATAGCTCATGTGTGTTTAAGGTTTCTGCCTTATGGAACCTCCCAAAAATTGTGTCAATATCCAAGGGACTCACTCCAACCTCAGGGCTCCAGCAGGAGCCTTCTTTGTGTGTAAGGATGGCTTATATCGAGTCTTCTCCCCCAAAGTACAGGATAATTGTGCTATAAATATACTTATCCTAGACCTAAATGTATACTCCCCCAGTGCCATGAGACAAGTTCCTGTCTGAATAGGGTCCCCCACAGGAGGACTAAATAGAAGAAAAAGGGATCCTATTGTGCTCTCTATCCTAGCAGGACTGGCTATAGCAGGGAGCCTGATACTCTGTGGCACAGCACTCGGGATTGGACAGCAATAATACCTTTCATTAGGCCAAGATATTCAAAAAGGGTTAGATGAAGTATGAGCCTCAATCCTCACTCTACAAGGACAGATCGGCTCGCTGGCAGACGTAGTGCTGCAGAATAGAAGAGGCCTTGATTTGCTGACTGCTAAGTATGGGGGAACTTGTCTTTCCCTAGGGGAAGAATGCTGTTATTATGCAAATCAGTCAGGAGTAGTCAGGGAATCCATGACCTGACTAAAAGAAAGGTTAAAGTGGATGGAAACTAAGTATGGTTCCCAGGATACCAACCCCTGGTGGAGTTGGCAGTTCTCTGGATGGAAAGCCTGATTAGGGGCCCTGATGGGACCCATAATGGTGATAATACTCCTGGTGACTGTAGGGCCATGGATAATTAATTGGATTTCCAAATTCATAACGGAAAGAATCCAGTCCATACAATCATATCAAACGCTATTCAAGCAGAAGCCCCTTATGTTTGTCCTGGTTCAAATCAATAAAGATTCTGTTTGATGTAACAACAGTGGGGAATGAGGCAGAAAGAGCTACCAAACATAACTTGGAATGGATAATTATTGTAAAATATTTGTTAATGAACTCTTGCTAAAACCCTGTTTGAAACTTGTGTGTGGTTTGAAACTTGTGTGAAATTGTCCCTGCTTAGAAACTCTGGGTGGGCCGCCTCCCTCTTGTGGGGGCAGCCTGCTCCTGGAGAGATCGGAAGTTAGACTTGAAGTGTGTCTATCTAAGTACCCCCTGCCTAATGCTGCTGTACCACACCCTTGCTACATTCTGTAATCACAACTTATGCCACCCTTGCCACCTAATGCTGCTTTATCATGCCCCTGCCACATTCTGCTGTCTAGCTGCAAGTTAAGCTGCCCTGTAAAAGGTATGA